GGCAAAATACAATAGAAATTCAAAGGTAAATTGAACTGTATCTAAGGTAAAATACAATAGGAAATCGGGGGTAAATTGAACAGTATCTAAGGCAAAATACAATAGAAATTCAAAGGTAAATTGAACTGTATCTAAGGTAAAATACAATAGGAAATCGGGGGTAAATTGAACAGTATCTAAGGCAAAATACAATAGAAATTCAAAGGTAAATTGAACTGTATCTAAGGTAAAATACAATAGGAAATCGGGGGTAAATTGAACAGTATCTAAGGCAAAATACAATAGAAATTCAAAGGTAAATTGAACTGTATCTAAGGTAAAATACAGTAGGAAATCGGGGGTGAATTCATTTGAATTTAAAGTAGAATACAGTAGAAAGTGGGGGCAAATTCAAAATAAAACCTCAGGAGGAATCTATTTGAAGATGAAGACAGGCTAAACAATTTAAAGGCTAAGGGAATTTGATAAATTGAAAGCATTTAAACAATGAAAATTCGCGGGACAATTCAATATCTTTTGTTGTTTTCAACAGTGAACAAAGAATACAGTAGAGGTGGAGGGCAAATACAAAAGATAATGCGGGGTGAAGTGGTATCAAATGAATCCTAAAACAATTGAATTCAGGGGGTTGTGTTAACTGGGGTAATCTAATGGATAACGGTAAAGGGGGTCGGGCCTCTGCTGTTACGATGAAATAAGCCTAACTGGCTATTCATATAATACTTCTTAGAGTGGCTCGGCTAAGGGAATGATTATAAAAAGAAAAAGACAGTTTGCTGTCAAATGTGCACTTTATTAACTCGATTTCGGAAGCGGAGAAATGTCCAAGTAGTGATATTACACGAAATATTAAAAGGAATCAAAAGCAACGATCTGTTAAAAATACCAATTCAAGTTGAAGCAGTTGTTATATCTATTTCATCAACTATTTAGAGTTCTATCAGTTTTTTTGTAATGTTCTTCAAGCATCCGCATGGACTGCAAACGACAGTGAAGTGAACCAAACGCGATATTTTTGATCGGCTTGGCTAAGGACTCCACGAAATGTGTTATCTGAAATACATAGACAAATTTTATTTTGACTTGTAATGCAAAACCCTTAATATTTACGATTTGCAAAAGAACATCGCGATAACTTTTTATGTTTTAAGAGGCAGCGGGGGTACAAAACGGCAGTTTATCTCCGTCGTGTACTTGCCGATAACGCAATTAAAAAACCAAACAAATAGGTGTGAAAAAAACGAAACAACACAAAAACGTTACTTAAAAATATTAAGACTTAAAGCATCAAGTATGAAGTACGGATATCAGATGGCTAGAATAGAACTGGATCCGACGACGGGGCTGTTGAAAAAAGCACGTGGGCTCTGATCAAGCGAAAGTTCCTATGTAAAATTCCTCTAGCTAAGCGGCATAAATTTACTTACAATTTACTAAATCCTTACCTTTGCATGATAGATGAATGTTTCCAGTATGATTTGCATTGATTAATTCCTTTTCTTGTCCATGAAAAGTATCAAAATACAGCTCAGGAACATGTTTCCATTTTGACACTGGAGTGGCCTGTTTACGAAATAACAAAGCGTGAAACTTGTCTCTTTTGATTCAATTCAAAAGGTTTTGTTTGAAAAAGAAAGGAGAGGTGTCTGGGATAACGTGACTGCGATCATATGGCTAATGTTTTGAATGGGCAGGACTCGATGTACTTTCATCGATTGTAAATTAAATGTTACTTCATTTATGATTGCAAATATTTGATATACAAGAACCAGGATGCTAGTCTATTATCATTAGAGCAAGACTTGTGGCCAGGTTATTATTTTCCCCTTTGCCCCCTACCATGGGGGTCTCTAGAATTACACCACGAGCAGCGGCGAAGAGACGTTCCCGCAGCCGCTAGTTACATCGGCTGTTACACTTAGCCCCTAAATTTTAGCAAATTTCAAAGGTTTCAGCCACAGAATAGATCTCAGCTTCTCATTTCTATGGTTTTAGCAAATGTTTCATCAAAATTTGCTATGTCTGTTGAAAGGGTGGGGCAGGGAGCATAGTAATCCTTACCCCAAGTTCAGAAGACTCCGAAAAATTTGAAACTTTTCTGCATTGATTTCTATTTGCTTAATTTGACAGTGCTTGATACTTTCCCGACAAAACAATCAGCCTTAAAAAATGTTCATATATCATTTTCAGAATTGCCGGGTTAGAACTTTGCCACCAGGAGCCTTTTCTTAACTACCTTCTCCTGGGCTTTTGAAGGGTCTCGGTAGGACTGCTCATAGCATAGGCAAAAGCCCAAATAAACATGAAAAAATTTAAGCAGGTTTGGATAAAGGAAGAAAATTTAAAGAATTAATAGAAATTCTTTATTCTTGATAGATGCTGTCGTGTTTAATTTTCGTAACACAAGCAATAACAAACTTAGAGTGAAAAGATTATCAGCTATTTCGCTGTAAAATACTTCTAAAATAACCTTGATTGTAGGTTGATCTGAGCTTAGTTAGCGTTTTAGAAAACAAAGGAAAGCAAGAATACACATAGAACTAACAAAAAAATTCCAGGCCTCTTAGAAAATGCTACTCGTGGTTCTCTTTTGCCAAAACGATTTCACTTATGCTACGTCTATGGCCACAAAGATCGCTAATTTACTTCCTTGTCGTACTTTTTCTTATTGTTCTTCTATGATGACTATGCACCGAGAAAAGATTTCAGTGGTCCAGATTACATTATGTATTGAATTTTTTACCTGTAATGATTAACTGGGGTGGTTGGGGGCAGGCTGAGCAAATATTTGTACTTCATGAAAAGGCAAAAAAATTAGACAAAAGTACTACAGTAGGGTTGGGGCAGGGACTGGATTCCAATACTTATAATTTCTAAAAATGGGAATGGTGACTCTATGCAAAACATTGTTAAGCTTTGTTTAGGGTCATTCTCCATTTCTAATACATGGATCATAGGTGCAGAGCCAGGCTAGACCACTCCTTTTTATTTGTAACCATAGTTGTCCTGGAACTTTTTTCTTTCCCGCCCTTTTGTCTCTATTCGGACAATATTTTTCCTGTTGTATCTACTCATTACTTATTTGTTATCATTTACAAATTTTTAATTAAATGATAAACATTTTTAAATGATAAAAATTCAAGTAGCCCGCAGGGCCAAGGAGGGGCTAGAATGATAGAGAGATGTATCCTGTGAAGAATTGTACAATTCTTATCACAGATCCTTCAAAACCTATTTGCTAAATGGCTCTTTTAAAAAAATTAAAATTTTTCGTTTAAAAAACGTGCATTTCATCACCAAATAGTCGGCAGTAGAGTTAACTTTGATAAACATCAAACAGCAATATACAAGGTAACATCAAAGCTCTTAAAAGTATGTACAACCACAATTTTTGGAGGAAGAGAGAAAAGCTGCTATTGAACTGTTCACAAAACTTCTTCGACAGGAATTGCATCCAGATAAATTCAACAATTTAAAGTGTGCTCTTATAGCGTTACCAAATAGAAGCAATAAATTCTGATTCCGTGGATCATCCAATTAGGCCCTAGAGAGGGTGGGGGGCTTTTCTTCAATCTCTCCGCTGCAGAAGGGAGCTTGCTTGATCTTTTTTATGAGGGGTTAACCTTATCAAACGTGACCTTTTAAGACGGGGGGGGGGGGGCTGGGGCTGATTTGTATACATACGCAGAATATGTATACAAAAAGTAGAAGAGTGTAAAAAGTTCTCAAAGTTATATTAAATGAAACTATTTATACAGTAGATGTTCAGCTCAGCAATAACGCACTTCAAAAGCTGTACTCAATTTGCTGCTTTTCTTTCATATCAGATCGTAATAAAGGGGCTTATTCAAACGAGGGGAAAATCATAAGGGAACTTAAACGAAAAGTGCTAAAGGAGGAATATTCAAAGATAGGGCTTATTTGATGTGAGGAGGGAGGGTTCACTAAATTATTACGGTATTCATTATTTCAGAAAGTGTCCAAAAGTCTTTGCGAATCGCAAACAACCCCTTCCCCCATTTTTATTGTACCTGATTTGTGACAACGTAAAATATCTTCAAAATATTTTGCTGGTTAACCATTTTGGTGAAAAGGGAACTTGTGCATACTCTGGAAGTTCTTATCCACCAGTATTATTTTTGGTTTTAAGTACAAGGACAGTAAATGATATTTCTTTATTAGAACACACAAAACAAAAAGACTCGACTTGTTTAAAACAGAAACAAGCTTAAAATTTGCCCAGCTTCATACGAAAAATAAAAAACAAGAAATTCGTTTTCTGAAAATTTACTTGTTTTTTCTTGAAAAAAAACAGAGCAGATTCCATCAACTAGTCATGCAAAAATTATTTAGTGGTCTTAGAAGAACAAATTCATAGTATGAAAATGCAGAAATTAATTTTGAAGTATGAACAACGTTAAAACATCGTCCTGATTGAATCTCTAAGGTGAGCCCCTAATACTCTACTTTAAAACAAACACGATTTCAGAGGATGGTGAAATGCATCAGTTGTTCAAAAAAGGGAAAAGCTTTTATGTTTTTTGATTAAGACTTTATGGGAAATGATATCCTTTAGAGTCAGTGTATCACATTTTCAATGATCGTTGCAATATTTAAGGGAATACCAAGAAAGTGATACAGAGCTTCGTTCACGCAGATTCAAACATTAGTTTTTTGTATCTGTTTCACATCTTATAGATCTATTTTAAAGCAAATATGCAAAAAGTATAAAAAAGTCTACTGCATGGGATATTTTGCAATGTTATACAGAACTTTATTTTTTAACTTAGAAAACGTTTCCTTATTGATTAAGGGTGCAGCCCGGTTGCTTGTAAAATCGATGAAGTTCACGTTCCTTGTCCAGGTTGGTGGCATTGTTCTTGAAGATTACGATCTCTTATAAGTTTACAAGTTAACGATAGAAAGGCTGTTGAAAAAAGCTCAATAAATCCAAATATTTCTTACCTTCATAATTTCCAATAAACAAACGTGGTTTTCCACGAACTTGAAAGGTCATGTTTTTCTTAGGCACTTTCTTTATATAAGAGCAGACATTTTACAAGCTGCTTTTGCTGGGGTCCAATTTATCCAGTTGAGTGCAGAGACCACCAACACTGAAATTGTTCACGATTCCTGGTCCTAAAACGAAATCAATAATTATCAACAAGTAAATATATATTCTTATATACAGTTCTCGTTGACTAAAAGTCATTCTGGTGGTCAATAAATTTTAACAGAATCAAGAAATTATCAAAATGTGAGTTTTTTGATATATTCTTAAAGCTTATGTTATTTTAAGATCATGTATTTATTCAGTGCAGTCCGAGATGTGGCATATGAGGTCGACTATGATCTTTTATGTCTACAGAATTTTCAAATTATTTTAACAATTATGCATGGTGAGTGCGATTCTCGTAATTTGCAACTTTTTCTATGAGTAAGGGCCAAAATGACTTTTTCGAGTAGTAAACACATCTTTAATGGATAATTTCCTAGCCATTTTCCTGATAGAATTATGGTAAAATATTCTCTAAAGACACCTCCGTGTTATTTTTCAAAGATAAATGAAGTTTTTAAAAGCAATGCGATGGATCTTGATAGTTTTAATGATAGTGTATAGCATGACCACGCCCTATTTTTAGCAGCTTTTTAAATAATGTTTTATTAAAGATAGTCAAAGTAAACAGTTATTAAGAGTCAGCTGCTTGCAGGAAAGGCTTTTCATAAACGTATAAGAGCGACTTTATAAGAGAGTATTTTATTCTAAGAGGAAGTGGTCGGTGAAAGGGTCTTGGCATGTTTCCCTTCTGATCCTTTTTAACTGTCATTCATTTCATTAAATCTTCTTTCCCTTAAAGCTTAATTTTGTTAGAATCATGATGGGGGACTTACAAGTATGTTTGAAAATATGCCATAAGAATATAATAAACTGAGTTGAAGCAATGATAGCATTTATGAGATTTAAGATTCAAAATGAAAAAAGTTCAAGATATATTTATTCATCAATGCAGTATCTAAAGTCTTTTGGTAAAGTTACTGCAAGTTTTTTCCATATTCAATAAGAAAATGTTACAAGGAGTGGAAGATTTTTAAACAATGTTTTTCCGTTACATTAAGAGGGAGTTATCAAGGTTGATATGTGCCATATCCAAATCATTAGATTTAGCCCTTACTCTCAAATAAAACCCCCCCCCCCCCCCCCCATCTGTAGTTTTGAAAAATCGAGCCCGAACTCTTGTTGTGGAACGGTATCTGCCATAGAGGCTCTGTTCTGGGTCAAAATATTCCCAGTCCGTTTGCACTGATGTCTGACGTCTCTACTGACACCTGTTAGTTAGACGATGTGTTTGGTTTGATGAGATAACCGAGTCTTAAAATGACGACACGGCTGCGAAGAGCTCGACTCTATCTTTAAAGCTACTGGATTCTGCGATACAATTTGCATCGTAGCTTCAGTCAAAATTGTCTATCTTTTAGCTTTTACATTGCATTAATTTGCATATGGTCTCCGTCCTAAAGTCATAAGAGAAGTAATATGTAGCATTTGCAATGTGTCGTTGGCGACTGAGAGAGTTACTACTTTTTCTGATCAACTGAGTAGAAAACTCTCCTAACACAAATGGAAATAAATGGCTCTCCAGCAATCCCAGCATATTTGAAGCACACATTCATGCCTATAAGCTTCAAAACTTTTTGTTATTTCAACTATAAAGGCTGAAACCGATTAGCTTTAGAATTATCACGTAGTGGTGACAACAGACTCTACAAAGATATCACATTAGACAGGGAAGAAGAAAATACAAATTTCATTCAAAATCTCTTGTGTTTTAACAAAACTCAACGTATGAAACATCAAATGAAAAATTGTCCTTTGAAAGACGGTTCGTTTTATGTCACTCAAGGCCAGAGCCACTTTGCATCCACTGAGGAGGACAAGGCTGGTCGCTGAGTCATCTAGCATTGATACCCGATCCATCTGTTGTGTGGGCGCAGGACAAAACAGCACAACTTCATATGTAGGTTGTAATGGTTCCAAGCTCCTCCACAGTTGTTCATCACTTTGCTATATGCATAGAGGCGGATGCCATTGGGAGGGTGAACTACCTTGCCATGTTTTCTGCACATGTTATCCAACTGATGATTGTTTTGAATCCTAGCTTTGGCTCCCCTAAAGCAATTGCCAGGGCACCAGCTCTTAACTTCAGAACAAGAAACATGGACACCGGGAAAGCCACAAAATAGGCCGCATGACCGTAATCTGTTCGACCATGCTGTCAGAACTGGAGCGTTTGCCTCGTCTTCAGTTCGGATATCACACATACATGTTCTATAGTTGGCTGCGACGAATTGTGTGCATGCAATGAGCGACAGGAGTGCAATGACCTGACCATACATCTTTGCAAGTTCCTGGAAGAAAATATGTCTTTGTCAATGTCGTAACCCATCCAGTTTGCTTACTTCTCAGGCTAGATGGATCGAAAGGGAGTGGGGTTCTAGATCACCGACTACTTCAGGGGCTGCAGCTCATACATCATAGCAAACGAGTCCCATGACAGTTAGGAAGACTGCAACATTTTTGCAGCTTATTTGATTATGAAAATTTGAAGGATTTTGAACAAAACCTCTTTCATGTAAAAATCAGAACTGGTTATGAAATATTATGAATTCTTCTACTCTGGTGAAAAAGTTGATAAAAGCAATGGGGTCCTCCACTTTTGTTATTTTACTAAAAAGATTATTGCTCTAAAAAGATATAAAAAAATAAAAGGGTTATTCATATTTGTTCGTTTTCATTAAAGTAAATTTCATTAAAATTAGCCCTTTGGTCATTTAATTGCTTTTTCAACCCTTGCAATCAATCACTGCTATATTTTCTACGCATGTCTAGAAAACAGTACCTTTTTAAGCCCATTTTTTGAACTTTGCTTTATTGTAGTTTCTTTTAAAAATACACCATAAAAAGACTATGGCAACAGGTTCTGAACCCAAATTCTACATTGAAAAGAGAGCTCAGTATGATAAATCCTTTTAATAGTTTCAACCAGATAGATATTTTGAAATATGATGATCACCGTGAAAGGCATCATAAAATAATGTTAACCACTGATGCTTACCTTGAAAAACAAGTTTTGCTGTTTAGATGACGTCTTTTCCTCGGCAAAAAGTGCAACTTGTGCTTCTTGCAACGAAACTGCTGATTCCTTTGGCAAACCAATCCATTTTATACATTTTCTTTAAGTTCCTGGTTGAGCTAAGGCCTATTGTCTCCATATATTTGACGTCTGTAGGTTGAATACTTTAAAGCACTACGCGGATATGAGTGGACCACCAACGCAATAAAAATGCTTTATTTCTTCTGTTCAAATGAACAATTTAGATAATGGCATAAAAAGGCACACCATTAGAGACCAGCGTCAACCATCCCTAATGAGACAGTATGCCGCCAAATATACGCCGCTTCGATGGTACATCACCCATACTTACTGTACCCTCGTAGTTTTTTAATGGACAATACTAATCTACTCAGTAACAAATTTCGAACGAATTCGCTGTATATGCTTAACAAAGTTAAAAAAAAAGGACTCCAAAAATTTTAAATTGTGGAATAAGGATACAAATATTGGAAACACGAAATAATATATTCGGAAATAATTTGATGTTTAACTCCAATGTTCAATGATACAGTTCATTAAAGTTCAGATTTAAGAAAACACAATCTTTAGATCTCTTTATTTTAGTGCTTATTATATTTGAACTATTGATAAGATAATTACCATTGATTCAGATGTAATTATCATTGAACCAGTAGTAAAATTAAGGGTAGTTATCAGCAACTGTCTCCTGTCAGCAGGGGCGAAACTACTGGGGGTATGGGGGGTGCTGCACCCCCCCCCAATCTTCAAAAAAGCAGATTTTGTCGGGCAAATTTATGGAAATACCATCTAGAAATACGTTGTTGAGAAAAATCAATCAATAATTTTTTTTCTAAATGTATGAAACTTTCATCATACATTCATAAGGAGTTATGCCCCAAAATTCCCTTAAGGTTTTACACTTACGGTTCGAAAATATTGCACCCTTCGCTATAAAATGGTCATACAGACGCCAAAGTTTTTTAACTAAAAAAATTCGAATAACCGTAACAAGTAACAGAAAGTTTTAATCAGTTCAAGCGGGAAATAACATAAAATTTATCAAGAAATTGTAGTTAAGATATGAATTGCAAAAAACTTTCGAGTTTATTCTATTTCTGAAAAATATCCATGATTACAAAAACACGAAAATTGAGCTTTGATGATAGGTGTACCTGTAAAATACCTCCAATAAAAACTTTCCCTTGCTCGAGGGATTTTGTTATGGTGAATTTAGAGATACGTACTTTGTGCTTGGGTGTCTAAAAATGTTGAAATTGCTGAAATTGCTTCCGGAGCAACCGAAAATTGAAAATGAAACTCAGAAAATGCAACTGAAGCTCTTTTTTTGCTGAAACATTGTAATCTGCGTAGCTGTTTCTAAATTCCGATATTTCCAAGCTGTGTTTTGGTTCCACTTTGATAAAATTGAGACCCTACTTCAATCTCTTTTTGAATTGCTCTCTTAATAGCTAGGTGATTTAGAAAGTGAAGACTTTTTTTAGACCTTTTATAAAAAAGACAGGCCTTACAAATGCTTGTTTTTTGGAAACAAATGTTTATAGCCAACACCAGAAAAACTAGAGGCATATTTCTTGACTTTAAACAAACAGCCTGGGCCGATGATTTCAGCCCTTGAGGCGATGTGCTTCAAAAATGAAGTTCATGTATGACACGCCCTTTCATCAAGCATGCCACGCCCTTTCGTCGGGCATCTAAGCTTCATACCCCCCTAATGAAAATAGTGAAGTTTCGCCCCTGCCTGTCAGCTCTTGAGGCAAACCACTTACTGCCTACTGAAAAAAACTTTCAACATCAAGCATTTTGAAGCAAATGGTGAGTGGATTGACAAGCTATGGTTCATGGCCACACCCATTTACAGACAGAGGTTTGCTAGAGTCTTCGCCATAAACCCCTTTTCTTCTTTTAAAATGCAAATCAGATACCAGTACTTTTTCTCATAAACGTCTCATAAAATTTTCGAGGAATACTATCATGCGTTTATACACGATAGGCGTTTTCCGATACACGAAAGCTGAAATATAACCCTTTGCATGTTACTAAAAAGCTGAAATACTGCACTTTGCACGTTACTACAAAGCTAAAATATTGCACGTTGCATGTTACTAAAAAGCTGAAATATTGCACTTTGCATGTTATTAAAAAGCTGAAATATTAAACTGTTAAGGAAAAAATGTTGTATGATTTATCTAAGTGCTTACACGTATAGATAATGCAGCTATTCTATTCTAATGATCATTATGATTGTATTTAAAGAATTGTGCTTAGTTGAAAGAATATTTGAACAAATCTTGTTTGCTGTGTGTCTTGTAACCAGAGACCAGAAAACTTCTTGCAAGTTTGCAAAAAGTAGTAAGCAGTTGTCCCAGGTGCCCATATAGTTTCTAATTCCTTATTTTTTAGTTTCTATCGCCTGTAATGCAGAAAATGATGTTTGCAGAGAAACTATTTCTATCGCTATGGGAGAAACACAGGCAAATGAATCATTACTTTATTTATAAATTGATTGTATGTTTGAATCTGAAAGAAGATACATATTGTTGTGTCAATTTACAAAGGATTTTCATTTACTCTAAATAATTCTCTATTAGTTTGAGTATTAATCAATTGCTATTCCAGATTATCTTGGTGAAATTATTGGCATATTTTTAAGTAACCACTGAATATCTTTGCATTATGTTAAATATTATGCAATATTTGTGATACGAGTAGTTTTCTCAATGATATATTTGAAGAAATAACAATTTATTGCTGGCAGTAGATATCAATGAATTTCTTCAACAACAGCTATTTAGGCCGTTTTAGGGGTGCTTTGGAAGGCCAACTACAAAAAACTAGATTTGATGAGAAAATCGCAAGGCTAGAAAGCCAAATTTTGACATTTTTAAGATTTAACTAATTTTATCTTTCAATACAAGCTTGCCTCCGAAAAGGAAAATTTCAAAGTCCCTTAGAAGAAAGCTGTTCCTTTTGGCAATCAACGTCATTGAACACCTCCGTACAATTCTTTTCTTACGATTTCATTGTGTTTATTGACGTAAGTAGCCACTACCTGGAAACTGGTTGCCGGGTTTTCAGCATTTCCGGAAACCATTAAAATTACATTAGAGAATACAGAATACAATAATGCAAGCAAATTGTTGCTTAAAATGCATAGTTGATAAGGACTTGTGACATCAGCGGAATGAAAATTTGCTTCGTCATCTGAATTGACCTGCAGTGCCTCTCAGAACTACTTGACATGCTCGTGGAATACTTGGCATGCCCATGGAATATTACTTTGAGTCTGACTTTTGTAGACTATGAGTCCAGCCAACTCTACTTCCCTTCACCCCCCCCCCCCCTCTCCTAACTACGGCTTATTCAAGAACTGAAGTAAGTTCAAAAGAACAGAGCAGTCAGCCAGGCACGTAAATAAGAGGGGGGCGTGGGGGGCGTAACGCCCCCCCAAAGTTTGGAAAATCCAGTTACAGTTGGAAAACTTAACGGTTGACTTGGATTTTTTTTCAGTCCAAACTTATGAATTTCATATTTTAAGACGTTTTTTATTTCAAATGTAAAAATTCTAAACATCAAAATTCACAGGCTGAAGCTGACCCATCCACTAATCGTTTTCTATTGTGAATCCCGTTTCCACTGGATCCAAATTGCACAATTGCCTCGTTTGCTTTCTTTTTGACGGGAGTTGAATCAATTTACGAACAGGCAAGGTGAATTTCCGGATAAGAAACTTGAAACTTTACAGTTTGGAATAATAATACCCGCATTGATCAGAAAATATTAGAGTGGGAGAAGAAATTACGAGTAGTTAATTCAATAAAAGATTAAGAATCTTTCAGTACTAAAAATTTTCAACGCTTCTTATAAAAAACGAGTTTATGCTAAACTCCCCCTGTTATTTGTGAACGTCCTTGACTCATTATCATAAATTCTTATGACAAAACTGCTGTGAAGCAAGAACACATTGCAAAATTGCAGTAGAAGTATTTGATCAAAGAAGAGTGTTTCATCTTTCGAATCAGGCATATGCACAAGTTTGCTCTCAAATCATCATTTCAATTGTAAAGAACGAAAAGGCATTTGGTCATCTGAAAAGTGTTAGTAGTTTTCTTCGATCAAGAACAAAAATAAAAGGCTCGAATTCTGGGAGCTTCTATATCGTGAAAAAATGTATTTTAGATACATAGATCTGCATCAATTGATCAATTGATCAATTTAGATAAAATTGATCAATTGATCTGAAAGAATACTACTAATCATTAAGTATATCTAAGACTGGTTTTGCTTGAATTTTGCTTTACTTCTTACAGTAAGTTTAAATTTTTGTTTCATGGTAATCAAAATTTAGAGATTTAGGCTTTTTTGCTTTATGCTAATTGTTGAGTAAGGTTTTTGTAAATGTAAAGAAAAAAGAACTATGGTATTCGGGCTATTTACAAAGATCAATTTGGTTGGTACAGTAGATTTACTGGTCGCATGAAAAATTTCTCACTTAAAGTTGGAATTTTCATCCTTCCACGCCCCTCCAAAATTAGCAACTTATTTTCGTCCCTGCAGTCAGCTATGCCATATAACTTGACAAATGATTTCTAATATCACACGTCCCATCGCACGAAGCCTGAATTATCTATAGGGGTTAGCTTAGCGGTTTGGTTGAATTAAAAGTTGAAAATTGAGGTTTCCAAAATTTTTTGCAATGACTTTAGGTTATGTAGCGTTGACATAAAGAATTTATGCTAATTATTTAATTGGAGTTTCTTGTATCTTTAGAGTAAGCGATCAGGATAAGAAATAGTGGTCAGGAAAAGTCATGGAACGAGCAAATCATAATATTTAGACGGTCAAATATCCTACAAACAATAGCACTGTTTAAACTTCACAAACTAACATTGGTTAGCCCAAGTCAAAACTAAGCCAGGCCAAATTTTCGTTGTGTAAACACAAGCCAAGCCAAGTTCAACAATTTTGAGCCTTAATATTCTTTAGACCATATTCTTATCAAAAACTTTGTAGTTACAGTTTTGTATAGACAGTTGGTTGTTTATTATTTGATTTAGAAATGGGGTTAATTGTTTATATCAACAACTGGTTGCTATTATTTGCCTTGCCTACTTTTAATATTTGATGCACTACACACTGTTTAAGAGCAATACAACATTCGCCGACGCTCGATGTTCTTATTTTTTTTGGATAATTTCAGGCTTGGGTGTTCTTAATTTTATTCTTTATTCAAAATCAATTTTTCTATATCTGCAAACTATGAATACTTTCTACGTCTGCTGAATAACAGTTTTGCATTGCATGGCATTTTTAGTAGCATGGTTCAGCGGATGAATTGATAGCTTTTAGTAGCTGATAAAATCTCCACGAGAGAAAATGTATCAATTCAAAATCCAACCAATGGGTGATTACTATTAAAATTCTTCCTTTACGAAAATTCTTCCTTTACGAAAGTTCTTCCTTATCGATGTTGCAAATATTTTAGATGCCTTTTCTGGCCTTTCTTAAAATGTTGTATTTCAAAACTTTTCTAGCCGCCAACCTTGGTGGGCGACTTTCACTAATCCCTAGAGCAATATAGACATTTTGCCCCCAAACTTTCAAAGCTCAATGAAGTTTCCACCTTTGACCCTTCCCTTGGTACTTGATTAAGAAAACTGGCAATGCTCTCCAAAAACATTTCTTCAGGGAGATTGGAGAGAAGGGGGGGGGGGGCTTATTCATACACAATATCTCTTCAGCTCTTTAGCCATAAGAAATGTATACAAGTATGTTAATTACTTAAGGTCATATACAAAAAAGTAGATTTTTTGCAGTTTCTCATGCAGTTGAGGTTTTGATTATATGTAGAACAAGCGCAAATGGTAGCCTAACAGATTTAATCAACGAGCGTCGTAAAACTCAATAAAATTAATTTTAAAGAGAAATACCTGGTACTGACGATCATTGATGGAACTTCTTTCGTATTTCTTTCAACCGTGATGCGATTTGATTGCCATTCGATTGCAACTTTTTCCACAAAAGGAGGACACGAATAGTATCTTCCATGGAATTTGATCATTTGATTCTTTTTCCTAGAAAGAAGATTATACAGAGATAGATCTAAATGATACTATATCCTCAAGCAAAAAAGCAATTGATGAGACAAGATGATTTTAAAATGATTTCCTGTCAAAATTGTTATAATGTCGAGCATAATCAATCAAAATTTTAATAATATTTTTTTGCAAAATAGATGTGGAATTTGATAACGTCAAAATTTGTTCTCGTTTTTCTTGTTTTGTTCATTTACTCGCTATATGGGCGTTTCCAAGTTAGGGTCTATTAGCATTTAGCAGGTTCGTTTCCAACGAATTTCCAAGATAGGGTCTATTAGCATTTGATCAATTGTTCTTCATTTGCTGGTTTTGAAACCTATCGACTTCTGACTTTAAAACAATCATATATTTGAACTAATGCCGAATTTTTTTGAACGCTTTTAAAACTAATCACCTGTCTTGAGTCATAATTCAATCCTTGAATACAAAAGCTACCTTTAAAATATGAGTGCATTTGCCACAGCAATAAGCAACAAATTTAGGAATATCTCATTTGTGATAGAAAATTTCTAAAAATTAAAACCATGATACTAGTAAGCATAATAGAAGGACCCAGGTACTCAAATAAATCTAAAAATGGTGTCTATTATATTATTAAAGAGTACAAGCAATATAGTTACGATATGTTAATAAAGTCAAGTTTTTTCGAAATCAGAGGTAGAATTGAAAACATCAGGTAACCGAGATACACATGGAAAATGAGAAAGGAGTACATATGTTTATATTGACTCCTACATGATCGCGTTTATACTGTAATTGATACTTACAAAGTTAAAAAATTTGCAATATTACCCAGTATCAGCCCTAAAATTAAACAGTCCTTAACTTCTAGCTGTTGATATTGGAGCAGAAATCTGCATCAAATGAAGCTGGTTAACAAAAATATATTTTTTTATTCATTAAACCTTCAGATTGTTTTATTTGCCTTTTTAGATTTCTTCATTGTTTGCATTTTCAGATTGAAGGGGATGTTATTTCAAATCTGACTGCGTCCATAAAAAACTATTTCAACCCCATGCTTGCATAAATTTGGTAAATTCAATATGATTTATTTCCATAACAAGGATACTTAGTATCTTGTATATTATCATGTTTCTAGAATCATTGTGGCACCTGTGAGAAAAGAAAAATTTCTTGCAAAAATGCTGCAGATTTAACCAGATGTGCTACACAAACAGGTATTGCATCTTTCAACGTAAGATCTAAATTGAAGTCATTCCAGAAGCACAGTAGATCCGATAATTTAGAATGGGAAAATGTTTTTATTGCCTGAATAAGTTGATTCCTATTAATATTGAAAAATGTTCGCAAATAAATTTCTGAAAGCAGGGTTGGGACCCTGTCACTCTTACAATTGCACCCCTGGGTAACTTACTTCAAGCAACGCAAATAATCCCTAAATTGCGAAACAACATTTAAATTCTCGATGCAATGTAGGTTAACAACATGTCACAGAAGCACAAAATCTACTTAATTTATCTAAAATTTGGCACGAATTGTTTTGAAACATGATTAGGCCTTCGCTAGGCCTTTTAGTCGCTATCCTTGTTCGTTCCTAGTGCCCAGTTTATGGGTAAGAAATTTCAATTTTAAAACCAAAGATAACGCCATTTTCCTTGCTTTACAAAAGCAGTTTGAACTTTCTGTCTGAGAGTCAATCCTAAAATGGGAATCACTTTGCTTAGGTTCTTGTCGCTGCAACAAAAACAGGCCTAGCCATCTCTCGACACATGGTACTACAAACCCTTCCAAACAACTGTAGATCAATTGAAGCAAATAATTAGTTCTAGTACTTACATTTTCTGAAGATCTTTTTTCTTTCTATATGTCTCATTAAGTTTCTGGAAGCTCAAAACTTTTCTCCTGTTTCCAAAAGCAAACAATTCAACATCGTGGTCGTTCAAACTGCCCGCGTTTCCCCCAGAAGACCTCAAGTTCAAGAGCACTTGGTGATTCTTAACAATGGGTATTGTTTAGAAACAATAGCTGTTTTTGTTATCGACAGTGCACAATCAAATGATTGAAAAATTTTCAAATGCAAACCACAAAAAACATTCACACTCGATCATACTCTTTTTAATGGACATTAGCTGCGGAGTTTTAAGTTTTCAGAGCCTTTGATCTTACAAAAAATAGATGAAATGATTAGCCCTAAAACGATAAGCAATTTTGTTTCATACAAACTTAAGCGTTCTTAGCGGTTTTGTCAATTTTTACTTCCTTTTTTGCAACTGCTTGTCTTTCAAGGCAAGTCTACAAAATCTTAGCAGCTAGCTATTTTATCAGTAAGCCTCGATGACAAGAGAAACCGATGCAGAAGTTGATGGCAAAAGAAAAAACATATCGTCACTTTTTGGTTACCATCTATCTCTAACATAAATTTAATAAAATCTGCAAAGATGCACATCAAGCTAATAAAATTGATAGTATTCTTTGACTTTAAAGTCATCTGTTAGTTGGATCATTTAATCAGTCATTATCTGATCAATAACCATAAAATGAATCATTGATCAGTGGCTTGATCAAAGGCTCGATCATTGGCTTAATCAATGCCTCGATCAATGGATTGATTAATGGCTTAATCAACGACTCAATTAATTCGCCAATCGAAGTGTCAACTAGTTTTGTCGGATCCATTTTGAAACAATATCAATCGATCAATCGTTCAATTGACATAAAAACAGAAAACCATTTTGGAATTTTAAGCAGTTTACAAGAACATATGATAATGTGCTTACTTAAAAGATAAATTTTTACATCTTGAATATATATCTACACAATCTACAGTGATGGCAAATTTTTCAAGGAATTTTTCGAGCTGCTTTTGAGAGGATTAAAGTCATCATTGAAGTTATCTTCCGTCATGAAACTTTAATGTGCAATCAAGTTTCAAAGAACGTCTTGGCAAACAGTTATACTTTGCTATCTTCGTCTCGATAACTTTAGATTGTGATTTGAATACAAAATCCCTTTGCATCGAAAACCGTTCCTTGAATAATACTGCCATCAAATCGAAACGAAAATTACTCTTTATATCTCGGTTAGTTGAAGCGTCAGATGCGTTGAATTAAAATTTAATTAAATGTGTTCAAAGTTATTTCTACTAAATAATACATATTTACATCGAGTCTTGATTAATATTCCTGCAATATCTCCAAACTTCTCTTGCAATAATTTAAAACATCATACCCTTTTCTAAAAGGGATTGGACTTAAAGGAAATAAATTTATCTGTGAATACCACTTCAAGACTCTGCTACTGAAAAACAGAATAGAAGCAGTCGAGAAGTTATCAAAGGGCAAAGACGTGGGGAACATTTTAAAAGTGCGTGAAAGGGGCACATCAGGCATAATATGGGTACCCCTATGACCTGCAAATTGGCACTCTATCTCTATTCCTAAAAAGTACGAGGAACGTGCCAACATTGCCCCCGGGTTCCTACATTATATTAAAGATCGATGCGAAGCTTTAAAAGAAGGCTTAGCAAAGGGTTAGGGGGTTTCCTTTATAAAAAGGGAATCTTCAAACGAACATTGAAAATATAGAGTGCGTAGGAAGACTGCACATCTAGTCCTTATTTGAGGATGAGAAGAATTTGAAGCAAAATCAATGGTTACGTCCAATACCAATCAGAATGGATTTGATAGACAAGGCAATAAAAACAAGAAAATTAACAATTGAATAGAAGGTACAACCAAATACTCGAACTTTGTTTTCCAATTGCAATAACTGTTATTTTTACTTTCTTTGGTATGTATTTGCTTCTATCTCAACGTTATAATAACTTAAAGGTGTGTTCTGTTCAAACAAATGTCTGTTGCCGTACAAACGATCAATAAACTCGGATCCTTGCCCTTAAAGCAATGTTTGCCATTGAAGAAGGATTCTCAGTTATCTAACATCTCTTTACAATAATTAAACTATCTGACATTTAACTACCAATTTACTACTCTGTTAGCTTCAACTTAAAAGCAATCAACCACTATACCCTTTTAGTGTCTCAAGGTCTATGTTTTTTACCAATATGGAATCGAGTCTGTGCATACAATTCAGAGGTTTTGCTATCTGTCTCGTGGTAATTACACAACCAGCCCACCCCAGCATCTCTAGGGGCATTAGATTCAAATCTCTTCGGGCTGCAACACTAAAGCATTTTCTTGGCAACCTTGGCACTTTGATGCCAAATTGCTCGTTCCGGAGATGGCTAGCAAGTACCCTGTGTTCCACCACCCATGTAGAACCTTCTCGATGTACCAGGGTACCTTCTTCCACCAATTATATCAATATCAGTGTCTAAAACAATTGAGAGTCTTCGCACGAGCAACTGTGGCTCTGACCTCGACATCCTTCCCATGTTACCCCGTCTCCGCCTTCTTCGGGAACCCCTTGAGCCACGTGATGTTTTGCCGCTCAAGGCAACTATTTGCTGCTGACTGCAGTTGCTTGCTAGCGATGGAGCTCGATATATCGTACCGCAACTTGAATTCGCAAACGGTATTGACGATGCTTTCGAGTCGAATCTCGACAACTGCTTTCCAATAACGATCTCCTCTTCTGTGGTGTTATTGTTTGCCAAAGGTTCGTCCTGGTTTAGAGAGAGAGGATATCTAAAACCGCTTATGTAATCGAAGTGGTGTAACGTGCACGGTGCATAAAATCAAAATTTTGGCTATAAAGGGCAGTGTATTTAAGAAATGGGATTATGCGTGGTGAATGAGTTTGAAGGAATCAATAAGGTTGGAACAAACTTCTGGTGATTTCTAAAGGGACCGTTTCAATGACGTATCATTAAATGTTTAAGAATGTTATGGAATGCAGGTGTTTGAGTTGAGGTTGATTAAGACTTAAAGCTTGTCAAAAGATTACTATTTCAGAAAATAAACATATTAAGGGCAATAGATATGAATCGGTAGCATGTGTTCAGCGACGATAGAATCACATCAGATATTCAAGCTTAGAAATTCATTATCTCTAACCAAAATGAACAAACTTGCCCAATTTTAAGATCAGGTGTGTTCTGGATTTTAATAATTTTTTAGCTACAAAAATAAATTCGCTGCACCTATCTCAGACTACTCAAGTGAAGATGGTCAGATGAGAAAAAGCTGAAGTTACCTCATCCTGATCTCCATACATTTCAATCAAATCAGGCAGCTCTGACGTAATGGTCAGTCTATGAGAAGTGTTAGCGAAGTCATCTTGACTTCCACACCTAAAAAGGAAAGAAAATTTATTTCATACATCAAATAGCGATGTTATTAAAAATTTACCAAAAAAGAAGAAGGGTCTTTAATTTTTCGTAAGGTTACTTGGGGCAATGTGTTTTCAAAAGCCGGAATTTAAGATTAGTTGTTAAAGAGGATAGGCATTTATGATGGAATTAAGAGCATGAATTTACTTGCAAAAATATTTACGTTTATCTCAAACCCGAAATAAAATAATATAGAAGAGTGAGAATATGAAATTGTTACTAAAAGTCTCAAAGATCAGTAAAAGTATTAGCCATCTCAAAAAAAATCTCAAAAAAAAACTTCCACATTTATTTTTAAAGAATCTTAAACAAATCTGATTGGCTTATTTCGATCCACAACTGGGGATATATATTTCCTAGCGTAGAATTTTCGATCTATGTTCTGACGTTTTAAACTTTGAAGAATGTCAGACGAAAAGCTTTAGTTTACTCGAATGTTTGCTTTTTTCAAAGCCATTTACGCTTATTTTGGGGCGTCAGAGCCAATAATTTTCAGATCAGCTCCTCCTTCGTTTAATGTTCGGCGATAAAAATCTCTTAATGATACTGGTACATATGGTACACTTGGTACATAAAGTGCACTTGGTACATTTGGGACATTTGGTATTGGTACATACTTGTTGGTACATTAACGTGGCACATTTGAAGAACAGGATGTAAAAGCTTACCAGTATGAGTTGTTGTCGAAATTATTTTTAAATTTCAGCATACTCTCGGCTTGGTTAGAATTAGTTTCACCATAATATCTGTCAACGGATAAATTTGTGTTAATAGGAGTTAGACCTAAATCTGGCAATGATACACATTTGTTGTTATGTTTTTGAATTCTGATTGGTCAATAAGGTATGGAGAATTTCAATCTCCCGGTCATCTAAGATTTGAAACCTATGCTATAGGGTTGCAGGTGGTTAATAATCGTTAACTTATGATTAACGTAAAAACTGTGATACATTTTGGACTAAAATTTAAGATAAATTGCTACATATGAAGGATCTCTTATTTAAGAACAAGTTCCCTGTCATAATTTTTACATACTCTAAGCTGATCCAAAATACAGAAAGCTTAAGAAAGAAGAGCCACAAAAAGTCACTAGAGGTTGACAACGTGAAATATTTTGGAAGTTAGTCAAAATGTTGGTCTCTGAATATTTGAACCAAGGAGATATTGGATGGGGATAGATTGAGTTTGTTTAATAATGGCTTTCCTACTTATAATTGGATGGCAAAATCGTTAGACACCAAATTGCACGGGGTTGGGTATAATGGTGAAAATATTCCCGACAATGATAATTTTTCTTGCTACTGCTCCCTAAAGAAAAGAAAGTCAAGGTACTTCTGTGATCTCACAGGTGGCACAAGACATAAAACGAGCGTAAGAGGCAATATGAGTTAACGTACTTTTTCCTCGCCATGCAAGCATAGATAATTCCGATGCAGCCAAAGAGTGCCACCGCACATGAGACACCAATAACAATGTACAAAGTGGTGTTGGTTTTCTTTGAGCCTGAACTCTCAATTGATTTTGATCTAGCAACTGGTGCAGCGAACTCAGGGATTTTCCATCTTGTTATGTTCCATTTTGAGTTGAATTCATCTGTTAACTTCTCCCCAAGACTGTGATAAATCCTTTAACGAAATCATGTAAAGTATAATTTCAGTAGGGTATATTAGAAGAAATTACTTAAAAAAATAATTCAAATACTGCTCACATACAAAACAATTTCACGGCGGCATTATGTATTGGCCTTCCCAAACTACTGCACCGTTTGATAACCTTCCCCCGCTCACAGCCGTGGAACCATAACGTTTTTTGGACTCTGCACGTTTTGATGTTTCATTTACTACACCCTCCAATCTGTTTCTCATAACTAAAGAAATATTGATCAAAAAGCTTACCTTAAGACAGCAGGTCTGGAGACAACCGTCTTGGTGGTTTTGTTGTAAGCATTGAATTTGATTTCACAGCTACAAGGAAACCAGAAAGATCTTGCAAAAAACTCAACAAAAGTTAGTATGAAAGAGTATTTATACCTATATATATATATGTACTAGAGTACATTTCTGTACGATTTAAAATACCTCTGAAATGCAGTAGAGGTTTGTATTGGTTAAAACAAGTTACAGCTTATAAGTACTTATTTTGATTCGTGCAGAATGTTACTCACTAAAAGTGATGACTAAAAGTGATGGGTCCAATATTTTTAAAAGGATTTAAAAAGACACCCTCTCTGAAATAGTTAATCTGCCAAAAAATCGGAATCTACTGAGAGTTTTCAGTTGATAGTTACCAAAATTTGGAAATACTAAAGCACAAAAAAACGTGGGGAGGAATACATCAACGTACCCCTTTTTTGTTTCTCGAGGAAGAATCTCAACAATCTCGATGTCCAGACCAATCAGCTCTTGAAGGTTCCTGGAAGATATCATAACATCGTTAATTGTATTACTCACGCACAGATTATAACAAAAACTTGACAATTCCTAGGCATACATTGCAAGTATAATCAAACTCCAACAAATAGTTTGTGACATTTGATATAACTTTTTACTCTTATCTAAGACTTCAATTCTTAATGTCAAATTTAGTTGCCAGATTTTTAGTTAAGTCTTATGATACAATTTAGTTAATAATACTCACAAGGAAAATTCTGTGTTTATGCTTTGAGTCTGAAGCCTTTTCGATCAGCACTTTCAGAGGGTTACCAAATAATCGTACAGGGTTTGAACACAGCATAGCAATTAAAACAGGCCTACTCCTCAACACATAAAGCATGTAGAACTCTATCTATACGGAATCAAACACTCTGCAACCTTCCATTTAATAAACTACGTATATACCTAATAAACATACCTTTTGAACTGTGCTGACTTAATTTCCATCAAATATGCACTCATAAGTGAAACGCATAGCACATCTACACTTGCAGGCTCGATCTTGAAGATGACTGTAGCACTTAGCTTCGCCTTGTTCGACATAACCCCACCATCATCATCCCTAGCTCCGATAACCATATTGAACGTACTGTCAGCGTACGGCATAAGAGAAGACGCAACTGTTATTGCTCCTGTTTTTGTATTGAGTAGAAACAATGATCTGCTGTTCGTTGATATCATGTAGTATCTTGGAGTACCGAAACGACCTGCGTCACGATCGGTTGCCTGCAGGGAGAAAGAGGACCGTGATCATGGGGGTATTCTTGAAATATAAACTAGGGAGGGATAAAAATCCACAAATTTCAAGAGGGGATGGATAATTTTGGTATGGTAAGGAAAAAACTAGGTTTCTTGGAGCAAGAATACACTTGATTCGACTGGATTGATAATGGCGGTTGATGATGATGATTGATATATTCGTAAAAGAGAAATATGACTAAAAAATTTGAAGTGAGAGGGATTATGTTGGTTTGGTAAAAATAGAGCAGAGTTTCTTGGAATGTAAGAAGAGCCATTACCCCCAATCTTTTGGAAAAAAGGAAAAACATTTCAAATAATAAGAATTTCGAAAGAAAAATTACAATAATATTACTGAATATTTATACTGACGGTAGCAAGATGACATTTATAAATTCGAGGCCCTGGAGATATAGGCCCTGGAGATCTTTCCTGAAAATTCTTTGGTAACAACTGTTTTCTTTTATAATTTAAAAATTCAAAATAGTGAGGATGTTATTCTCGAAGTATTTTTCCTTTCTGAATACATTTCAGTTATAAGAAATGAATATGAATTTAAATTGAATGAATTCCTGCATGCAAAATTTACCTTGACATTGGCAACAACAGTATGTGGTCTGACATCTTGAAACAACCTCACAACAATTTTAGTCTCTTCGAAGATTGGAGCATTGTCATTTTTATCAATAACCTCCATTTCGACCGTTGCATCAGCAGAGCTGTAAAAAGACGTAAAATAAGTCCTTTAAATACAGTTTATCACGGGATGACTTATGACTCTGATGAAAAGGCAAACAACGTGATTGCCAAAAGTCATGTTTTAATTAAGTCAAGAACTTTTATCAAACAATTTTATCAAAATAATTGATAATTTTCCCAACGTTTGACACCAATAGAATAGAAAAGGTTTTCAACGCAGTACTTCTTCAGAGCTCCAGCTTGTTGAATTCATGGTTTCGTAAAAAAGCCATCAAAAAACTCAAATCTAGAGTATAACAAAAACAACCAGTGGCGGACACTTGAGGGGGGGGCGAGGGGGGAGACCGCCCCCCCCCAATACTTTAGAGGACAATGGTCTTTCGTTCTAGAACAATGGGACATGTGACGTCATCCTATTAAAACAATAGGCTTGCCCCCCCAATATTTGATCAAGTGTCCGCCCCTGAAAACAACTATTTCAAAGCGTTGCTCCTAAATGACCTAAATCAAAATGAAGAAGCATAAAATAGTGAACAGCAAATTTGTTTGTATATTTTACACATTCAATAAAATATTATGTGTTCAAACAGCAGCCTTTCTCGTGTCCTAGGACTTTAGACACTTGTATGAAGACTTTAGACACTTGACAGCAAACATTCCAAACTTTGAACTATCTACTGTATGTAGTTTTTCTTTTTTGTAAAAATAATTGTTATTTGTGGTTCAAGTATTAAATAGAAATGTAGTAGTTAATTATTGCTGTGAATGAAATGTTTTTGAGTTATGAATGGTTTATCATCATATTGAGGATTCAGTTACTTTGAACCTAATGCCAAGAAACCTACCGTCGATCTTCAAAACGTTTAGCATTGTCAGTGGCCCTGACTAGAAACCTTATTTTAGAATCTTCCTCCCTGTCTAGAGACACAGCCGTTGACAGCCATCCCGTACTGCCATCGATGCGAAATTTCTTAGAGAAGCCACTTGCATCAGGGACAATACTGTACGTCACAACAGAGTTCACATCAGCATCTTTGTCAGTTGCCAGAACCTGTTGGCGGATATCGGTATAGTAAGTAATAATATATTGAAATTTAGTCTAGCTAAAAAAAATCTATTCATATTGTCATGTCATATTCTATACCCAGAAGTTAATTTGCACAATGATCAGCTGGTACGATCAGTGGAAGGAAAATCTATTCGTCTGGGGAAGGGGGGAGTGGGTAAAATCCTTTCTAAGTGATTCTAAGACCGAGGGAGAAATCACTTCATGAAAAAGTCGTACACTTTTGTTGGAAATCCTATTGTTAATCTTGAAATCCCTGGAAATCCTTTTGTTTTCGTGGAAATCTAGTAAGCTATTTAAAAAAGTGAATTGCCCCTCGCTATGGCGATTCTATTTGTAGCCCTACTGAGGTAATGGCTGCACTTGTGACTTGGTCATTTGCATCCCTTCTCTGAGTGATCACATTACGTGCTACTGAAGTTGAAGCAGAGGTCGAGGAGAAAACAGATTCCAAACGATGTGGGGGTGTATTTATGACAAAGTAAGGGGAAATGGCAATCAAAGAATTTTTAGTTCTTTTAACTCGATTTTGATTTCATATTTTATCATTATTACTTACACATTTGAGCTGCAAAATTGTAAACTAGGTTTTTAATATGTTTTTCTTTTCTTTTAGGCAGGAAAAGCAGGGAAACCAGCAAATAATTGTTGAAGCTACTATTATCATTATTATTATTATACTATCATCATTATCATAATACTTTGCGCTTAAATGTAATCATCAATAAATTATACTTTCTTAAATATACTGTCTTGATATTGTGTAGACAAGTATTAATAACAAAAAAGTATGTTCTTTGGAAACTTACACGTAATATCTGTACATCAGCCGGAGCTCCTTCTTCAATTTTGCCAAAATAGTTCTTGTCCTGCTTCTTTTTGAAAATGAACTGTGGGCTGTTATCGTTTTCATCCTTAACACGAATTGTAACATGAGCGAAAGTAGGTGGCTTGTCTTCCTGCCTGGCGATTACCTTGAAAGCAGAGACATGAGTGTAGAATTATTTGCTATAAAACATTTTAATAACAAGTCACAAATGACAATCTTGGATCTTTTTCCCAATAACAGAACTTTCTGATTCGTCTAACAGGGCTGGAAATATTGCTAAGAAAAATCTTTTACATTACGTCATATGATTTGCAAAAAATATTAATGGCACAGAATTCGAAAATGGCTTTGAAAACCAAACATTTTATTTTTTTTTGGTTCCAGGTACCTAGACCTTCCTGGCCCCTAGCCTGATTTCCGTTTTCTTATACTTCTTCACACATACTTGTAACAGCTTTTATACATACTTAAGATTTTTTCTGACACTTCTCAAGACGTTAGAATGATGATCGAAAATGCTAGATAATATATATACCTAATTGTGGATCAAAAAGGTCCAATCAGAAAGGCGAGCACATTATGGATATTGCTTAGGTTTATGCCGCATGTCAATAGAAATTCTGTTATTGATTAAGTTTAATCAACTCAATACTTGCCGTACTTTCCATTAAAATCTAGCATGTACACCTTCTTCTCTTCAATTTTTGCTTAGTTCTCAGTTCTTAATATAGCTGTTACTTTTCTTAAACCTAAAGTTGCTTTTGATTTCAAAGTGAATTTTTCAAACAGTTTCTTACCACGAAGTTGTAAAGTGCGTTTTCTTCATGATCAACCGTGGCATTAACAAAAATTACCCCATCGCTGTTTATACCAAAGGTTCCATCATCCCTCCATATTTCGTAGGATATCAAGCTTTTCTCGCCACCCTGTAAAATGTAGAAGATGTTATGACTCTTGGCACAAATAATATACGACCATCTTACAAGGTACGCCCTTTTACCGTTAAAGCCCAAAACCACCCGTCGTCACGAGCAAACACCCACATTCCCAGGGATCACTGACAAAGTTATCATCAAAATAGTCCTGGGACCTAATGACAAGTGCCTAATGTAAGAGCCCTGTTTCGTCCCAATGCCCAGGAGTTACGCCTTGTCACACGTAAGTTTCCTTCCAAGGCCCACAAGTTGCGCCTTATCACATATAAGTTTCGTTCCAAAGCCCACAAGTTATGCCTTGTCACACGTAAGCTTTCTTCAAAAGCCCACAAGTTGCGCCTTGTCATACGTAAGCTACGTTCCAAAGCCCACAAGTTACGCTTTGCCACACGTAAGCTTCGTCCCTATGCCCACCAGTTTCGCCCCGTAGCTCCTAGGCTAAGTCCCAAAGCCCACAAGTTACGCTTTGTCACACGTAAGCTTCGTCCCTATGCCCACCAGTTTCGCCCCGTAGCTCCTAGGCTAAGTCCCAAAGCCCACAAGTTACGCTTTGTCACACGTAAGCTTCGTCCCTATGCCCACCAGTTTCGCCCCGTAGCTCCTAGGCTAAGTCCCAAAGCCCACAAGTTACGCTTTTCCACACGTAAGCTTCGTCCCTATGCCCACCAGTTTCGCCCCGTAACCTCTAGGCTGCGTCCCAAAGCCTACAAATTACGCCCTATTGCTCGTAAGTTATGAATTCCTACCTCTGCATCAGCATCAGTGGCAGATACCTTCAGTACCGTTGCGCCGATGTTTGAATTCTCCATGACCTCAGCAAAATAAGCGGATTTGACAAACTGTGGACCATTGTCGTTGATGTCATCGATGTAAATAATCAGCAAGGCCTTTGCTGGTTTATGATGCGTCGATTTGGCCTAAGATTGTAGACAGAAGTTAACGAAACACATTTCCTGTGATAAACTTCCGATGCTAACGACACTATATTATTTAAAAAAAAATCTGTTCTCTTGAAATGGGGATTAATTGAAAAAAGCTAATGCTGACAAGACGGTATTTTAAAGAAATAATTTTGAACAAAGATTGATCGAGAAAGGCAGAGAAAATCTTAAAACAATTGTATATAATTGATATTTGAATAATAAATATTTGATTAATTTTCTTATATTCACTGCTACTAGAAAGAATCTTTGAAAATTAGAAAAAAGTTATTGCCTTGAACATTACGATCACCAAGCATAATGCTCAGGAATATACAGTAACCAAAAACCAACTACAAAAATTAAAAATGATAGCAATATCTAAAAAATAAAGTTTGATAATATAATTTGAAAAAATTTCCTAAGCTTATTATGAAAAACTAAATCGTATTCAGCTGTTGATTTAAAAAAAGTAAATTGGTATGAATAAGAAAATTAGTGTTTTTCTTTGCTTTAAGAAATTTCTACATCAGCTTACATAAATCTCGATGACGTATTTTGAAATGAGTTCACGGTCCACTTTCCCATTAGCTGTCACAACACCCGTTTTTGGATCGATGTTAAAGATGCCTTCGGGATCATTGTCTGTGAATAAATGCAAAACAACTAATTAAAAATAGTATTTCAATATTCATGCCAAGTGGAGAAATAGAAAGTTGCCTAACAAAGAGTAACGAATATGGACCTCATAGGCTAATGATAGATAAATCACATACTAACATCAAATAAAGATGATAAATACTATAAAAATTTCCTTATGATAAGTCTTTCTTATCATGAATTTTTTAACTTCTGATTACACTTATTACTTATTTGCCTTGTTAAGCTAATATCTATCGCAATTATCCAACTTTAAGATGCAACAGAGCATCTGTAGGCCCGTCTGCTAAAAAATTCAATGAAATTTTAGATAATCTGCAAAATAAGACGAGGGTGTTTTCCTATAAAGCATCTAAAAAAACCCAATATATGATTTTTTCAAAAGCTGGTCACATTTAACTATACAAATGAATAGAATTTTGGAAAAAGTTTGCAGGAATTTTGCAAAGAGAGTAGAGACTATAAACGATGAAGTTTCATAACAACAAATGCAATCAAAAGGTTTCGCATAGATAATGCTGCTGAAGTAGCAAAATATTATAAAATACCTCGATTCAAGGAGAATGTCACAGGGGCATTCAGGCCACGGTCGATGTCATAAGCATCAACACGTTTAACGTACAAATTCTGAAAAAAATACAACATTTGAAAATAATGTTTATAATTCGCCTATGAATCACAGACAAGCATTAGTAAAATACATAGGAAGGCCATTTCAATGAAGACAATTTAGGAGGATATCACATGTGAAAATATATTCTATATCATGTTTCATATAGACAGTGTAGTAACCTAATTGTGTAGCAAAACATTATGCGCAGGAGCATTAGCTCATGTGACCCATGTAGATATAATATGCTATCAGTTTCACATTACAGTTAGTTATGTGTGTAGGCCGTTGAAGTGAATAATCAAATTATCGTTCTTTTTTGTTGAGAACCCATGCGTTGTTCTATCTCCTTCATATGTTAACAGACAGCTCTTAACACAGTGGCTATAGATGCAAAGACATCTCTGGTGAACACTTGTGATGGAATATTAAAGCAAAAAAGTTTCAAGAAACCTGATGGTATTAGTTGAATAGTTACCAGTGGGGTCTGATGTTATAAATGTGGAATATTAAAAACAGAACCGTAGCCAGGGAAAAGGATCGGTAACATCATTTGTTTGATCCCCCTATCGGCCTAAAGCTTTTTCCATAATTGCCAATGCCTTACCTTAAACATGCCTTCCCTGATATGCGATGTAAAATTGGATGCTGTGAAGGCAGCCCCATTGTCATCAGCATCCAGAACATTGATGGTGAGGGTAGTGTATGTAATGTGTCGTATTTTAGCACGAGGTCTGGCATCCTGAACAAATAGATCAAAAATTGACTCTCAGTAAAATAACCCTTATGAAGTAACCTCTTAATTAATCACTAAGTATTACTGTAGGGGATCTTCACCCCGTTTTATTTTGTTGGCATATATGAGCATCACCCGTGCAACAAGCAAAAAGGTAAAGTATTATGACTCTGGAAAATTCACAATCTTCAAGATGAGTTATTTTCTTAATGATGTCTTTTGAGAGCTCCTGTCCCGAACTTTGCCTGTATTGAAAGAACATCTTGATTGAATTATCAAGAAATTCAGAATTAAAATATCACGTTTATATTTTTAATTAAGTATAGTTGTTTATGTCAATTTATATTCAAGATCCAGAGAACATAATAAATATTGGTTCAGTAAAGTAAGAAGAAACATCAAGTTGCATATAAGAGATCAATTTGCCAAATTAACGTCCATTAAATGAAAATTATGATAGCTATTCGAAATTCGAAATAAAGCATATTTTTATAAAATAATGTTAGTTTTGAAACACACTAACGTACCTGTACAGAAACATTTAGAATATACTTCTGTACTTTTTCGTAATCAAGTTTGTTTCGTGTAGTTATTCTTCCAGCATAGCTGTCAATCTTAAAAACATTTCCCTAAAATAAAAAGTATTTTGAAATGAATGTGGCTTCAAACAATTAATCATTTATAATTTGATATATTCTTCCTTCTTCGTGAATACTTTATAAAATGTTATGCTCTAAATCAAACTCATAAAATAAACGTCTTAAACGTAAAATAAATATTGCTTAGATATTTATAATGTAAGTTAAAGATCACTATACGATTAAACAGTAAAACACTGTCACCTGCTACAAAGCTTTATTAAAAACCAAATGATTCTAAACAAAGGTCAAAATTTTGCAGAAAAACTGCTGTTTTCACTGTTCACTTTCCAGTACAAAAAAGCTACTGTCACAAATGCATAGGAAATAACATGTTGATTAAAATTTGCTGTTATTGAAACTCCATTCGATGAAAACCAAGAATATCCTTGGTTGTTAACAAAAAATCATTTTATTGGTTATTCTTGGGATCTTTATTCGATGTTAATTTATCAAATTATATGCGATGCATCATTGAAAAGTAGCTTTTACAAAATTTTCCAACTGTTGAAGCAATTCGTAAACGACAGAAACTATTTATAGTTAGAAACATAAAAAAAATAATAAAACCTCTGACAAGGGCTTTAAAGTTCCAAAAACGAATAAAGCTACGGACATATTATGCTCCAAAACCGGTCATATTGTTATTCCAGCCTTAAAGATGCTTGCAAATAGAATAACCATTAAAACTGCAGGAATCCTAATATAAACGCTAAGATCTACGTCTCAAAATGATCAATCCGCCATTAAAAAGTTATTTCAGACGAATGCTTTGCCGATAATTAGGTTTAAAATCTTATTGGTCAATTGCAGGACGGTACCTGCTGCTGATTGGTTGAAATTCAAGGCGGCGGCGTCTTAAGGAAGCTACTGGTCAATAGTCATTGACTGTATTCAAATGGATGCTAAATAATCTTACGATAATCACAGCGTTTAGGCCGTTTTATTGACGATACCGACTTCGCTTCTCATAGTGCCATAAAAAGCTAGTTACATCAATCAATAACAACGCTAAATGGGCTTGTATTTGTGTTTCATACTCCTGTGCTTGATAAACAAAACAGCGCCCGCGTTATTTACAAAAAATCTCAAATTAAACTTTTGCCAGCTTCAAAACTTTCCTATAGCGATTTCAACACTGTCCACAGAACAATTTTAACCCTGTCCATTAAATGATTTCACACTGTCCCTAGAAAAATTATCTACAAGAATTTCTCTATAACCTAACCTTGAAATCGTATATTCTCGGCTGACTATTACAGCCAAATCTCACTTTAATAATGAACTGAAGTAAACAATGAAGTGCATTTCTATATATGCTCATCTGGCAATTATGCTTCAGGCATAAACTTGTTTCTTGTATCAACAGTTTTCGGAGCATTTAGATTAGAGTCTTCTTAAGATTAATCTCTCCTCTAACGTTTCGTCAAGGCAGGGACTCGAACCTCAGACTCTGTAGTTCGTGATTTCCATATATCAGAGAACGACGAATCTAGTCGCTTTTCTGTACAGTTTAATCAAGAGAACAAATAACGAAATAGATAACAAACACCAGGTTAGCAAAAGCTGCTATGTTTTTACTCACAATATTGCCATCGACAATATCATAGATCAATTCTTGCATTTGATCAGCATCTGAAGCAGTCACTCTGAATATAAATGAGTCGATTTCCAAAGTCTAATGAACAAAAGAAAAAAAACAATGCAATGGAATCATGAAAAGCAAAATTTAGAATATAATGACTATCAATACTTAGAATTTATATCTGCAAATCGTGCTGAATAAATTCATATATCTTTAAGCTTTAAAGCTTGAGCTAAAAGTTTACCTCGTTGACTTTGGCTACGTAAGGTGTTCCAGTGAAAATTGGAGGATTGTCGTTTTCATCCTTGACGTGTACACTTACACGAATGCTTGTCTGAAATAGTCAAAGGATTGAATAATGATTTTATTGATTTCTTAATCATTGAATCATTCAAATGATCAACCCAGAAAAGTGTATATTTTAGCAATTAAGAGATCAATACTTGATTGTGATTCCTGTGACATACATAAGACATCAACAGGTCATGTTATAAATCACCAAAACACTTGAATTTAGATAAAAATAAAATTAAGCATGGTGTTCAGATTCTTCCATTCCTACTTTCTCCACATGGCTCCAAATTACTGACAAACGAGCCTTACTGGGTGGATAATGAGTTTTTGACAATCAAAATAAAGTGGATAAAAGTACCTTTTTATCTGGTTCCACATTGTCTGCTGCATATATAGTGAAGGTGATAATGTCCTGAACAGAGATAGTAAATTCAATGAAGTCAAACATTTTTCAAAAAAGTCTTTAAAAATTGCAAACTTAAATATCTTGACCTACAGTAATTGCCAAAGGTCTTGGTATGCTGACGTCAGTTTTAAAGGCAAATCCAGCCAGCCAGTCCAAAAAACTGGTTTATTATCAGATTAAGAATGGAGTTAAGAGGTTTTTGTGTGATTTTATCGTATTTGACTCGCCTTTTAACACTGTTCTGTAGGATTCGTGGATAAAGTAGCAGTACTCGAGAAATAGGATTATCAAATACAAAACCAACCTCCGACTGTTGGGTGATCTAAGTATTTTTGGCAGGCATAGAATGCTGTATAGAACAGTCAGCTTACTAACATCAACACAGTTTTTAAGGTTTATATAAAAGTCGTCTCCAACAGACTTGACTTATTTTTTATTATATTAAGCTCACACATAAACATTAATCAGCATTTTTGTGAACAGCATTTAGTGGAAGGAATTGCACTTTGTCTCCTCTAGTTACTGATGCTTGAATAATTTCTAAGATTGTAAATCAAATCTGGCCACTAACAGGCACTAACCCTAGACTTACAATAAAACTCTATCAGTTTTCATTCTAAAGTCGTAGTTTCATATTTCATCAAAATGGAATAATAAAAATGTGTTTGCATTAGAATAGAATAATAAAAATGTGTTCAAAACAAATCATTATTGTAAGATGACCGAGTACCATATGTTCAGAATTTCCCAAGCAAAGATTATATTATTTCACTAATCTTCAATAAACTTAAAGCAAATCATAAGCATAACAATAATTGCAACATAATCTTTATTGTTTATAGCAAGCAAAGAAAAGGAAATCCATGGTTTTCGTTCGACAAAGCATGATTACTCACATTCTTTTCTCTGTCCAGCACTTTGTTCAAAGTAAGTTCACCTGTGTCTTTATTGATCCTGAACAAACCACGGGCATCATCTCCCAGAGAATACGAGATGACGTCATTATCCAAATCTGAGGCCTGGATAATCGCAATGATTGCTCCTGGAATCAGAACACAAAAAATTACAGTTTTCAAAAGACCCTCTTTATGTTGCAAGTTGACTTTAGTAGAACTACAGTAGGTTCCCTCATATAAGAAACCCCCTTGTATAAGAAACCAGCCTCAAATTCTTTCCAAAGGGCTCCTTTTATAAGAAACAATTTTAAGTCTGAAATTGAATTGTTTCTTATTTTCAGATCCGTCATACTTTATTCTTGTATGCCAAGAAATAATCCCCTAAATTTTGTAATGCAACCCAACACTTAAAGCTTAGTTGCTTATGTAAAAATGTGTAACCTATTTATAAGAACATTTTACCCTGATTATAAAAAGGTATCTTAAAATAAGAAACGTTCTGAGGCCTCAATTTGAAACGTGGTTTCTTCTATGCGGGAACCTACTGTAATCAGAGGTAAGAAGGATCGATTTTTTCAATTCAAATCGAAATGAAGAACACCCTGAGCAAGTGTATACTTCTTTTCATCAGACTTTGACTCTCTTTTTACTGGCTAGCAATTACTGCAAGCAACATTATACTTAGATTTCGCATCTGAAATCTGAAATCTGATACTGAGATACTGAAATCTCGGGAAATTCTTAGATATTCTCTCACAGCATGCTTTATGCATCAAAATGAAATTCTATGGTATCGGGCTCCATCTTTTTCTGCAGCAAACGTTTAATTTCTTACACATGTTGAGCAAAATAACTATATTAGGAATGAGTCATATTGCTAAACCTGGCCGATGGTTGTTGGTAAGGCCACTTTAGGAGGAGGCTAAGGTAAAATTTATCTAGAATGCCATGGACACTAAAATTGAAATAAAACACTAACAAAAATGGTGCAGACATTTCAAGACAACCACCACAACCATGGCAGACGCTCTTTGCAGAAACTTCTAAAATCTATAGAGAAACGTAAGTTCAAGAACACTACCCAAAAATAGTTCTATTTCTAAATTGTTTCCTTCTCTCAAAAACATGTGCGAGTAACCTCCAAAAACAAACATCTCTCTACAATGGACAGGAAAGTTGTCCCTACA